GTATATCTGTGTCTGTTTATCTTGCTACAGTATACAAACTGTATCTGTCCCTACATTATGTATATCTGTGTCTGTTTATCTTGCTACAGTATACAAACTGTATCTGTCCCTACATTATGTATATCTGTGTCTGTTTATCTTGCTACAATATACAAACTGTATCTGTCCCTGCATTATGAAACCTCTTGATCTGAAATGTAATTTCTTAACTTTCTGTATTGCTTAATGATATTATTTTCTTTTTCGTAGACACTGGTAGTTACAAAATATTTCGAGCGGGAAACTCAAAGGCTTAAAGAATGGCCACAGTTTACTCATGATGTTTTGTCTGAAGTAGAAGAGACTACTTCACAGAAACGAGTTAGTAGAAAATTATACAGTGGAAATTGAGTTATAACAACCATAAAATTGTTAGTGAAATAATAATATTTGTTAAGTTTGTGAAGTTACAATAAACTAAGTTTTTGCTTACCTTCTTTCCCTCATAACTATCTCTACTTTCATTGGCCCTCTGGGCATTAGTAAACTTCTTAAAAGCATACCAGTCTTTTATACCTCTGTTTTTTGCGTCATTGCAGCATAATGTGTTGATCATGTGTCTACCCTCCACCAATCCCATTGCACCTTCTATATTAGTGCAGGTAGCTTCCTCTACCCTTATAGCACAATCCTCACTTTCTCGATTGGCATTCTTATGTATAGACTTGTGTTTTAAATACTCAATGTGACTGCACACAATCCTCACTTTCTCGATTGGCATTTTTATGTATAGACTTGTGTTTTAAATACTCATTGTGACTGCACACAATCCTCACTTTCTCGATTGGCATTCTTATGTATAGACGTGTGTTTAACATTCTCAATGTGACTGCACAATTTTTTATTGTGCTTGATCACTAATTAATATCATTTTCAAGTTTCTACACTTTTGTTTTTGAGATGTTTCTGTTTCACGAATTTACTTTGTTGATATGAATTTGGGTTTGAAATGGCAGTTGATAATTTTCCTGCCATAAGTAGACAGTGGTTATAGCACTAAGCTGCAGTCTCAGGTTTCACGATGTCTGCTGAGGAAGCACAGACTTTTGTTCGCAGGGAGTTCGTGTCTTATGTTCTGGCGGCAATTTTTTTCCTTTCAAGATAGGTATTGTTCTTATTCCCAGAGGGATCTGTGGTAAGTTTTTCAGTGTGTATTTCTCACTCCCTGTAGATATACTCGTGTTCATTGAGTTTATGTGAGCTCATGTGTATGTATCTAATTTCTACACTCAATAATTTACACTATTCATGACTTTTCTGCTCAGTGTTGTGTAAGTTTCAATGTTATACTTATTTTACCATCTAGGTACTTTAGTTTAAAACTTGTGTTTAGAGTTTGTTTCTTGCATGAATTTGGTTTAATATTTTACATTTTTTCACTGTTAATGTTATTTATTTACAAGTTCCTTTTTTTCATTTCTTTACTACTAGTCACATCTAATTGGGGATAAGTTTTGAGCCAACATTTGTTTTTGTTAACTGGGAGCCTTTTTATTCTCATGTTCTTTTGGGTAAGTTATCTTTTCATGTCCCTTCTTTTATAGTTTCTTTGTGTAGACTTATGCATTCTGTGTTTAAGGGTCATTTATCTTATCAGTTCCTTTAGTGGTTTTGTACTTTAGATATTACTTATTGTTTTATGTTGATTTTCTTAGTTTTTGCAGGTGTCTTACTTTTAAGCTCTTTGTAGACTACACATTTCTAACTTTTTTGTTAGTTCATTAGTTATGTGTACTTTTTCAGTTTCTTTACTTTGTGTCTTTTTGGCTAAACTTCACGACAGTTCCGTTCTTTTTGTGGGTTCTCAAGGAGGGTTCCAGACTTCTGTTTTGCTCCCTGTCTACTCACTTCCCAGGTCTCCTCCCCTCCTCCTCTGGATCATACCTTGTGTGGTCGTGTTGCTCAGTCTGTTCGTGACCTATTACACAATGAAGCTATCTAACGTGTGGAGCCCACTCAACCAGGAGTTTAGTATCATCCTACTTTGTTTCCCTATACACAAAAGTTTAAAGTCCCTTTCTTGATCTTTCCTGGCTATATACTTGTCTGCAGTCACCTTGCTTCACCATGAAGTTCTGTCTCTTGCCTTGGTGGGTTTTTATGCCCCAATGTCACATTCTTTTCTTCCATTCCTCTAGGTGAGTTTAGCCTTCTTGTTCTGAGTGCTCACAGACTGTCTTTCTTCAGCTCTGTGTGTGTTTTGTGGAGTGGTATGTTCTTTTGCACGTCATCTTCACTCGTTGGATTTTCAGACTCACATTTCATGGTCAACAGACTTCTGCTCACCTCTTCCTGTGCTCTTTCTCACACCCAATTCCTTCTTTGATAAGCTTCCCAGGTGGGTTTCTTTTCTGGTTGGAGAAGTCCTTTACTACCCCCTCACAGTATCTATTTCATTTGGGGGTTCTCTTCACTTCCTTTTTTTGGTCGAGCCCAGCCTTTTCCACTTTGGCTCCAAGATATTGAAAGAAAACTCACGTTTGCCATCACTTCTTGTCTATATGTCTGTGAGGTTCTCTCTCATCTGGGTTGTGGTCTTTTTTGGTAGTGCTCATTCCCTTGGATCGGACATACATGCATTACCTTCATTGGATACATCATGAACAGTGGAACTTTCCTCACGATTCCTCCCATTTTCATTGATTCCTTTGAGTTTTTGGGTCAGTGGTCAGTCAAGGAGGCTACTCTCCATATCCACATCCTGGTACCTTAGCAGTTCATTGGGCTCTGTATCCTTTCCTGCAGGGGAGAATGGTTTTAGTTCTTTTTGCAATTTCACTATCATCAGCTTTATCACCTAGAAAGGAGAAACCACGTACCAATCTCTGTCTGGTCAGACTCTGGATTTTGTGTACTGGGTCATGTTCCCCGAGTCCTGATTCTTGTGGTCAATCTCTTATTGTATCCCCACCAGGTTCTCCACTGAGTTGTCTCCTCATCCTCACATTTTTCTGTAGGTGTGTTCTAACTGGGAACAGTGCATATTTGTATGTGTTTCCCATTCACTGTTATGCAACATTTTCTTCCTTCTAGTCTTCAGTTCCTCAACCTTCAGCTGTGGAGATAGATGCTTTCAGTCAAGAAAGGAGGGATCTTCACCTATATGCCTACCCTCCGATTTGACTCATCTTCTGATCTGCTGGTTCTTCTGTATTGGCTGCTAAAATGTGGTTCCTCTGCTCTAGCCCTTATTTTAGCAACACACCTTATCTTTTTCTCTGTCCTGTCCACTCCTCAGTCATCTGCAATCTGACATTTTTTTCTCCAGACATCTCCACACTCCTTCTTTCATAGTGACTTTTGTCCAGTCACATGTCTCGGCTCCAGCGTTGGCACCTATATGCCTGCCCTCCCTTCAGACTTCCCCCTCTTCCGAGTGTTTCCCTTATCTAGGCCTCCTCCTTTTGGTGTTCTGTTGGTTGCACTGGATTGGCCTGGCTCTGACATAGTTCCCTCTGTTCTGGATCTTCATGGAGAAACAGACTCTGCCCTTTTCTCTGTCCTTTTCACTCTTATGTCCACCATGATTGATCATTTTTCATCCTGTCTCACCATACTCTATCTTTCTGTGTCTTTTGTCTTGTCTTGTGCCTATGCTCAGGAACTCAACCTTTGGGTCACATCTTTCATTGCATATACATTTTGCCCTTCCCATTTGTCTGTGTACCAGAGGCATAAGTCTTGCTTCAGTCTCTGGTCTTTTTCCCAGGGCTGCCATCTCTCTCTTGTACTTCTGTTCTTCAACTGTTCCAGCTCTTCATCTGGTTGTTTGTTTAGGGTTTGTCTGTTTCAACTATTGCTTGTTATAGAGCTGCCCTGTTGAACTCCCTCCTTTCTCTCTCTTCCAGAAATTTTCTCTTCTCCATCTCTTTCATCTGGTTCATCCAACATATTTCATTTGTTCTGCTGGATTGGGATCTTCATGTTGTTCTTCCTATCCTGTCTGATTCTCCCTTTGAACCCATTGCAATTTGTTTCTTGTAAGATAAATCTCTTACAACCTCAATCCTCTTCCTCCTGGCATCTGGGCTTCGTCGTTCCAATTTTTATGCCATCCTTTACCATTTCTTGTATGTTTTTCGTTATCTGGATCTGGCATTCCTTCCCTGGACTTCAGCTGCTCGAGTAGGTTGTTTTTCTTTTTCTCCTCTTTCCTTTTCTCACCTGTATTCCCATTGCTGTCCAGATCATCTCCTTTCTGTAGTTCATTCCCAGCTCTTTTCTTTGGCTCACATTGTCTCCTTTTGGTGTTCTCATTGCTGTCTGATTGTTCCATGGCATTTCTGTTTCTCCTCTTGGGTTCATCAACTCCTACACCTGGTGTATTTGGATGGGTTCCTGGCTGTTTGCCATCTACATATTTAAATGTATACGATGTTGTTCACATACTGGCCTGAATGATCCCTTCCAAATGACAGCAATGTTGAGCAGCTAAAGACAGAGTTAGATGATAAATTATGTGTGAAGAAACGCCTCTCTTTCTATGCACAACTTTGCTGTGTCTTCCCCAGGTAGGTATTGTCTTCCTCCTGTGACAATTCTACACTCATATGTTTATCTTTGACTGGGGTAAGTCGTCACATTATTATTTTTCTCTCTTTTATTGTTGCTTATACATCATATTTCAGGAGCCCACCTGGTGGTAGGTGTTGCTTGGTCAGATATGCTGAATTTTATATCATAGCAATATATTTGTACACTTCTCCAATGCTCATTGTGGAGATGGGGTGTTTCTGTAAGACCACTGGACAGTTTTCTGGTGGTGTATATATATATCTATATATCACATTTTTTTTATCAATATCTATTGATCTATATATATATATATATATATATCCTGAGGAACATCACTCATTACTTTATGAGTAAAGCAGATAGGAATTTTTGCCCAGCTCTACTTTGAAAAGCAGAAAGACCCATGATCTTTACAATTTGGGTCTTTCTGCTTTTCAAAGTAGGGAATGCAAAATCTCATTGCATTCTTACTGTTGGGTCATTCTCATAGCCATATGTACTCACTCTATGAGAAGAGAGTTATTGTTGTTATGCTGCATATTATGCAAGGCTCTTCCACTGCATGTTGGACCACACTTTACATAACCCAATGTTTACCAAGGGGCTTCTCCTGGATGTTTTTGCCTAGCCAGACCAAACTTGTTGATTTTACAAACTTATGCAAAGTGCTTCCATGTTGTTTTTGTCCTTGGACCACACTTGGCATTATATTTTATATCCCAAGACACTTCCCGTGGATGTTTTCTATATTCTATTTGTTTTTTGCCCTGCTTGTCTTATCTTCTTTGCTGGGTGAAAAGCATACCTGTACCACAAGTAGTGCTATACCCCACAGATGTGTAACATATTTTAATTGTGGCACATCTGCTTTTTTCATAGCAATCGCTCTCAGCTTGGTTATTTGTTTTTGTGCCTCTCCACCATTCCAATGTGGAATTCTAGCTATGGGGGAGCAGAGGTAGTGCCACTTCAGAAGTTAACATTTTCTAAAAATGAAAATGTATTTCTGATAGGAACTTACCTCATCCCACCCACTTCCTACCCTTCCTCCCTACTAATTTGCCAGTGCTTTTGAGAATTGTATATGTCAATTCTCGAAAGTGAGGATTGTCCCGCAAGGGTAGAAAGAGCTACCTGTGCTATTATAGAGGGTGCAGTGGGATTGGTGGAGTGTGGTCACCTGATAAGCACATGTTTCTGCAATGATGCAAAAAATATAGAGGTATAAAAGACTGTTGCACTTTTAAAAAGTTTACCAATGCATAGAGAGCAAATAAAGGTCAAGATAGTTATGGGTTAGAAAAGATAAGTACCTATCAGAAATACATTTTTAGTGTTAGAAAATGTTAACTTTTGTTTAATACTTTGTCCACTGACATTAGTCATTTGTCCATGTTTTGAAAAACTGAATTTAAAATATCCAACCATTATTTGAGACAAACGATTTTTCCCTCTAAAGAACTGACTATATTTGGTTATCTTTCTGTAGCAAACACCACTTCTAGAAATTTTGGATCAAGAGATGAAGCATGAACAACAAAACACAGAGTACCAGAAATACTTGGACTTGGAACGTACAGTACTACAAGATTTAGGAGTAAAAAAGCCAGCTCACTAGAACACTTTTCATTGTGTTTTTACTAACATTAGGCATTTTAAAAATTTATACTTATATATTTTCAATGTAAGTTTTTTAAACATTTATGTAATTCAAAATATTTTAATTTAATAAAATCTTGCAACTGGAAAATTTAAACTTGCCAAAAAAAGAGTTTTCTTTGTGTATAGTTATTTGTTTTGTTGAAACAGCAACTTAAATTTAAATAATCATATTTTAATATGGTAGAATAATTTGTAATGCTAATATTTACATTAATTTTTGATTTTTTTTCCTAATACAAGAAAAATATTTTATATTTCTAAACATATTTACTTTTGACGTTAGGCCTGGCATGGCCAGGTTGTTAGGGCACTCGACTTGCAATCTGAGGGTCGCAGGTACGAATCCCCATCACACCAAACATGCTCGCCCTTTCAGCCATAGGGGCATTATAATGTGATGGTCAATCCCACTATTTATTGGTAAAAGAGTAGCCCAAGAGTTGGCGGTGGGTGGTGATAACTAGCTGCCTTCCCTCTAGTCTTACACTACTAAATTAGAGATGGCTAGAGCAGATAGCCCTCATGTAGCTTTGCGCGAAATTTAAAAACAAACAAACAAACTTTTGACATTGATATGTATTTTTTTCCTTCTTTGAAAACGTGGAATTTGATTCTTACAGAAAAATCTTAAACTTTCCTATTTTACCCTAATTTTAACTTAAGCAATTTTCATATTATTTAAGCAATTTCATGCCTAGTTTCAGCTTACCTTAACTTGAGGGATCAGTGAATTAGCTATGAGATGAGGATACATACACACTAGTTTATTTTCTCTGAGTTATCTACACCAGAGAAACTAAACTAGTGTGTAAGTGTGTATGTAGATAATAGTTTAGTTTCTCTGGATTATCTACATACACACTAGTTTAGTTTCTCTGGATTGTCTACATACACACTAGTTTAGTTTCTCTGAATTATCTACATACACACTAGTTTAGTTTCTCTGGATTATCTACATACACACTAGTTTAGTTTCTCTGGATTATCTACATACACACTGTAGATAACTCCAGAGTAACTAAACTACCAGAGAAACTAAACTAGTGTGTAGTAGATAATCCATAGAAACTAAACTAGTGTGTATGTAGATAATTATACACACTAGTTTAGTTTCTATGGATTATCTACATACACACTAGTTTAGTTTCTCTGAATTATCTACAAACAAACTAGTTTAGTTTCTCTGAATTATCTACAAACAAACTAGTTTAGTTTCTCTGAATTATCTACATACACACTAGTATTCAGATCAAAAATATGCATATTTACTTCAATGTAACAAGGAAGATTTATTTTTTAACACAAAAAGAACACTGAATAGAAATTTTAATTTCCTTTAAAGGAATATTCATATCTTAAGTAATGGTTAGCATTTTATACAAACAAAAAAAGGTATTATTTTCACATAATGTTGTGGTAAGGCCATTATAAAATATACTATTGTGACATGCATGTTTTTTAGTTTCACATAAATTTCTGGTAGATGAGATAATGAAACCTACAATTATGAAAGAGTTGTTTGTACCATAGCAGACGTTGGTGAAAAGTTTGAATAATTATGAACATATTAGTGTGCAATTTGGTCTTCCAAAAATACCCCCTGAGAGAGGAAAAGTAAAGTAAACACTGATAAGGTTTTCTGGTTAGTTGATAACTTGAAACACTCATAGCCACAAAAGAGAAAAGTGATCATTTGAAGGCTGTTTGATGAGAAAAATGATGCAAGAAACAAAGCTACAGGAGACACCATCATACATCAATGATATCAAACTGTTTTTGTATCATCATGAGTGGATAGAAATGCCAAAAGAGGACTTGTCATCCTTATAGGTGCCAACACTGAAGACTGCCAATTCCCATTTCTAGAAACATAGTGGAAGCAGAAACTCTAGTTTACCAGCAAGGAATATAACTTTTATATTCTTTTAATAGCCTCGACATCTCTTATATAACCTTTTCTCTTCATCAACTAACACACACTTTCAGTGATGAATAATTTTACTTACAGAAAATGCCATTCCTTATGTAAGAACTGTAAACTCTATAACACAGGAGTTCAAGTAAGGGAAATACACATGTTAGCAGAAAACCCTAAAATAGTGATCACAGCACCAAAATGTTCTTACTATCTACTCTTTGATATTTTCAATTAAAACCATTTTTTTTAAATAGTAAATTAAGTAGTTATGCTATATAATGGGAGGTTCAGCAAGGTTTATTCCAATGTAAAACTGAATTTAGCTAAAAGTAACTGAGTCTGTGCTAAGAAATATATGGACATTATGTGCAGTACACAATGAAATACGTTTTATTCTTAAAACACTAAGCAACAATGCATGTAGTGTACCTTTCTGTGAGACAGGACCTTTACAGGAGAGGTGGATTGATTAGGTTGGATTCAGTTCCTCAAGACTGACTAAATCTCTTGTTAATTAATTGAAATGGTTATTTTTAAATTACTTATAGCAACTAACTCTGCTCACATGACTGGTCATTCCCATTGAAACGTTTTGCCTACTTTCATGCACAAGATGTAGCTTTACAACAACACATCTATGGGTAGACCAAGAGTTATCCCCAAAGAACAAAAGTATATAGAATTAAGTCAATTTAAAGACATTTTCTGATCATGTGTTGTTCAAAAACTGCACATACCAAAAACAAACAAAAAAATGCTGAAAATTTTTTATTTTAAAATAACAAGGCAGAAAATGCATAATATGCCTGTATATCACAACATCAATACAACTAATCTAATGTTAAAAACAAACATCTTGCATTTCGTTTAATCATAGAAAAATACTGGCTATCAGTTACCACAACTTCAATTATTCTTATAGACTTGCTGGGGAAACTCTACAAAGTTGATGGGGAAACTTATCTAGGAATAGCCAATATAAAATCTTGCAAGCATCTTAAACAATGAACTGTAGCTAAGACAAATGGAAGTTTAGACTGTAAACATTGAAGGTAACTGAGTTATGAACACAGGACCTATTTCTACTATGGCCTCTGGAGACTTGTTGACTGTTGAGGACATTACAGCCATTGTATAGCATGTTGTTGGTTCCCTCATGCATAATTTCTCTTCTGTTTCTGAGTGACCAGAAGGACAATGACTTTAACTGACTGTTTCCACGTCAGAGTTTGTTTCGGGTACCACTTTACCAGTTGGGGAAAAATTCTTAACCTTCTGATCTCTTTCAGGATATGCTTTCTTATGTATGTTTCATTCTTTAACTTTTGCCTATGTCTTTTCATTCTTCTTGTTTATTGAGGATTATTTTGTCTTTCCTTCTTCACCTGATATTAGGGTTCATGCTGATTCATTTCTCAAACAACTCCACACTCGTACCCTCATCCTCACATTCTTGGCTCTTTTGTCCTGACTTCTGGCCATCTTTCTTTCCTTTCTTGATTTATGGTCCTTGGAATCTCTTTTACCTACTTATGGAGTACACCCCTTGTTCTCTACTTCTTTCTCTTATTCTCCATTTTTGCATCATCTTTTTCTTCCCACCCTCCTATTTTCCTTCTCTACCTTTTGTCTGAAGCATTTCATCGTACATCAGAGGAGTTTTTTGAGAGTTTTGTTCCCTTTCCTTTATCATCTTGGCTTTACCACTTCTTATGCTCTGTATTTCCTTCCTTCATTCTTCTGCTGTTGGGACTTGTTAGGTTGGGGCACATCTGTCTCGCATTGTTTCCCTTTGTTCTCACTCTTTTCTATGGATAGAGGAGTTTTTAATGTTTTCACCCACAGTTTCTCTCCATTTCCCTTCTCATCCCCTTTCTCCTCTTCTTATTTTCCTTTTCTCTTCCCTCCAACCTTGTTTCTCTTTAGTGTCTTGTGGATTTGGTCTCAAATCTTTTGACCAAACAGGAAAACTGAGAGGATATACACTACTTCCTGGGGTTTTATACTCTCACCTCTTGGACTGTGTGTGGTTATTGACCTATCATATCTCAACTGGTTTCTAGTCATACTGCTGTTATGAGAGGACGATTTCTTTCATTTTTTCTGTATCTTTTCACTTGGTCTGTATATCCCAATTACCTCGTCCTCCAGTCATTTTTTATGTTTGGTCCTATGGAACTGAGTCTTCTAATTATGTGCTCTTCCCTTCAGCATGGTGTCAGACCCTTATGTCTTCCATCAGGTCAAGTGCACCTTCACTTGATGCCCTCATAGACTGGGGCTGTGTTTCCATTTCTGCATGGTAGATTGGCCTCTATTCGCCCATTCTAGGGATATGTCCTTTTTCCACACCTCCCTGAATCTGGAGGAAGCTGGCTGCTTGGAATGACTTGTCATGCTTTCCAAGTGATTCCTTTCCCACGCCTTCAGAGTATTTAGTACATCTGGGCATTTTCTACTGTCGTCTCAGTCTGGTTCAGCATTTTCTATTGTCATCTCAGTTCGCTTCATCCTTCACTTAAGAACTATGGAATGTCTAGTCACCATGATTTGTACATTTCCTTCTCATCTTGTGCATGAATTTATTTTGCTTTTGGTGACTCTGGCTTCCCTGGAACCACTCATTCCTTTGGGGCACACACACACACGTGTTTCCTCTAGTGAACTTTGCAGGATCAAATGAATTTTTTCTTGGGATCCATTGTTCTAGATTGTGAACCTCCCTTTTCCACTTCTTGAGGATTTTTCTTGATAGCTAGTCCATGCCAATACTACCATTGGCGTTCCATTACCATCCCCCAACTGGATCTATCTATTCATAATTGCTTCCCTTTCACATTGGGGCAAACCTTTCAATGGCACCATGTCTTCTGGTATTGGAGCATAGGAATAGAGTTCACTTCACATCAACGTGCTCGAACTTCTCACTGTTCATTGGGCATGTTCCCATTTCCTACCCCTCCTGGTGGATCAGTTGGTCATGATCCCTTCACACAATTCTACAGTTGTTTCTTATATCCCATCAAGGGGCACTCACCCCAGGACTCTTTGCTTTTGAGTGTTGGGCCTCCTCTTCTGGTTCTTTCCTATCTAGTTCGTC